GGGCATCGCGCGGGGCACCCAGCGGGGCATCCAGAGGGGCATCTGGGGGGTCTGCCCGGGACACCCAGAGGGGCACCCGTGGTTCTACCCGGGGCACGCACGGGTATCTTCGGGGCACCCAGAGGGGCATCACCTGGACCACCCAGAGGGACACTCGTGGGTGTTCCTCGGGGTACCCAGCGGGGCACCTGTGAGCACGGCCCGGGGCACCCGGAGAGGCACCCACAGGCATCACCTGGAGCATCCAGAGGAGCACCCATCGGGGCACCCGTGGGCATCACTCGGGACACCCAGAGTGACACCCGCGGGCACAGCACAGGACACCCGGAGGGTCACCCGTGGGCATCTCGCGGGGCACCCGCCACGGGGACACCCAGCGGGTCCCCAGCCGGCGCTGGGATCCCCGGGCTGGGGGCAGAAAGCAGCAAATTCCAAACTCCGAGTACAAAAAAAACACAAACAAACAAAACAAAACAACAAAAAAACACCCCCAAGTCCAAAAAAGAACCCAAACCCCACCAAACAAGACATATATATATATATAGGGGATTTTATATATATATATGTATATATATATATATATTCCTTTGCGATTTAAAGTACCTTAACTGTGTGTGGGCCCGTGGGCCCGCGCCCCCCCGGCCCTGCAGCCCCATATATATATATGTGGAGATATATATATATATATGTACAGGTTATTTGTTTTATTTATAGGTCACAAGGACTATTTTTAATTAACTTTTTTAAGCCGACGAGCCCGACTAAAAACCCTCTAGGAGAGACTGTAGTGCATGAAACCCCCGCGGTGATTGTCGAGCGGAGCCCCCTCGTGTCCCCATCCTGCGGGGGACCTCCCCGGAGCATCTCCAGGGTTGGGGTGTCCCCCCCCACCCCCGCGGCTTTGCGCCCACCCCGCCCGCGGCCATCGAGGCCACCGGGGGATTAAAAAAAAAAAAAAAAAAAAAAAAGAAAAAAAAGGGAGAATGATTAAAAAAATAGAAATAATAAAAACGAGTGGTGCCCCCCGGGGAGGGACCGGGGGGTGTTGCATATTCCCTTTGGGCAGAGCCGGGAGTGCGGCCCCAGGGGGGTGTCGGGGGAGCAGTGCAAAGACCCCGGGGGTGTGGGGGGCTCCCCGGCTCCCCAAG